TTAGGTGCTAGGCTCTGGGTCCCAATAATGGGCAAAACAGGAGCCTCCTGGAGCTTACGTCGGAGTGGGCAGAGTCAGATACTGGACAGATTCCACAAATAAATGAATCATTAAAACCGAACTGCTGTGAAGAGGTGGCACCTTGGGTCATGAGCTGGTAATTTCCCCTGGTGCCTAAGGAGGGGTCTGTGTCAGAAGATGCTTCCTGGAGGAAGTAACTCATGATGAGAGAGAGGAAGGGGAAGAGTTAAAGAGAGGAGGGAGAAGTGGGCTAGAAACCTGACTGTGCAAAGGCCCTGTGGCAGGTGAAGCTGTGCATGAGGGGCTGAGACAGTACGCTGCCAGGGAGAGTGGGAAGGGGCTCAGAAGGCCTCCTCAGCACTCCTTCCTCATACACACCCTCCCCTCACTTCTCTAACACAGCTGCCCTCTCATCTGCCACACTTGGGGCACCATCCCTTGTCCCCCGAAGCCCAGCCCAAGGACCTCCTCCCACGTGGCCCTGTGCTTCCGTTTGGCTCCTAGAACAGGCTCCTGGGCACCCAGTCCCTCCCCAAACACAGAATCCTCAGACACATGAGTGCAGGCAGGCACTGATTTTATTTGTGACCTGATTCTGGAAGGAGCGTGGCCTGGAGTCCTCCTGGCTCCACGCTCATCTGACCCCGGTCATCCCTGCTCACACTGGGATTTCACCCCAAATCACAGGTCTGGGCCTTCGCTGACCTGCAGCCACTGTCCCCACCGTGGGCACTGGTCTGAGTCTGGGCAGCCTTGGTTCCCTGCTCCTCTCCATCCGAGAAGCCTGTTGCATGGGCTCATGGCCACTCCTGTCTCCTGCCAGGAGAGGCCCCCCTTCCTTCACTGGGGCATCGCGTGTCCAACAGAGCTGTGGTGATCTCCCCTTCTCTTTAGGGTACAAGGATGTCAGGCCAAGGGCTAGGGTGGCTTCCTAGCCTCCTTCCTCAGCAGGGAGCTGGCCACGGCCAGGGCCCCGCCCTGCACGAACCGCACAAAGTTGTCCCCAGCCAGGGGACCCACTGCGTACAGGCCCTCCTGCTGTGTGCTCTGGTAGGTGAAGGGATCCACATCAATGGGGTTCCTCTTGGCGCTCAGTGGCTGGTTGGGGTCCATGGCGAGGTCAGCGCCTGCCCCCGGGAGGAAGGAGAGGTTGGGGTGGGAGCCGATGAGGACTAGCACCAGGGAGACGCCAAAAACCTTCTGGAAGCCCGTGGGGTCCCGGAACACAGCCTGGCGGTCCTCCTTGAAGAGGACCGGCTGGTGCTCAGGGAGGCTGCGGTAGCCCTCGTAGGGGCTGGGTGACAGGATGGACTGCTCCCGCATCATCTGGTGAACCTTGTGGTACTCAGGGTACAGCATCTTGGGCAGCTGGTTGAAGACCAGGCCGGGGTCGTCCACGGTCCGGCGGAAGGCGTGGATCACGGGGATGTTGTAATGGCGGGCGAAGAGGACCGCATCGGCCGCTGACAGCCCCGCGCCAATGATGAGGATGGGGTCCGAGTCCGGCGTCACTGTGCCTGCTCTCGTGGCCGCCTCCAGGGCTGACAGCTCATGGTGGATGAAGGGCAGCGTCTCTCCGGGGATGCCCAGCCGGGCAGGGCTGTCTGACGTGCCAGTTGCCAGGACCACATTGTGGGCACACAGGGAAAAGGGCTGCTGGCCCTGGTCCTCGGTGGTCAGGAAGCCGCTCACCTGGAAGAGGGGGCTGGGGTCCTGGGCCCCGGAGCTGCTGGGCTCCGGTGTCCCCCATTCCACAGCCGTGACCACTGCCCCGGACACGAAGTTGTGGCCCAGACCCTTCTTGGTCACATAGTCTCTGTAGTAGAGAGCGATGTCCCCAGCTGTGGCCCGGCTGTTTCGGAGACCTCTGGGGGAAGAATGTGAAAGGGCAGGTGTCAGATAGCAGATTGGGGTGGTGGGGCAATCAAATAGGAGTGGGAATGACCAGGCTGGAGTCAGGCCCCCGAACCTACTATGGCTGTGCCACCCAGCAGCTGTAAGACTTGGCTAAGTGGTTTAACCTTCTCAGAGCCTCGGTCTTCCCTTCTGTAAAATGGAGCTGATAATGGTATCTTATTGGCAGGGGGGTGTTGAGAGTGGGGCTTCCAGAGGCTGATGATCTGGGTTCAAATCCTGACTCTGCCACTGGTGAGCTGTCTCCTGAAACTCTCTGCCTCAGTTTCCTTATTTGCAAAATGAGGATGATGGTGACAGTACCTATTTCGTGTGGTTGTTGAGAGAATTAGATGATGATATAAACGAAGAGGTTAGAATAGAACCCGACAGGCAATATAAGGGTCGGCCACTATTACCTCAAAGGACTCAATAATAACGTACATAAATATGGTAGGATTGCAGTTTTATAATGTTCAGAAACAGGCAAAACTAATCTATGGAGTTCGAGGTCAAGAGAATGGTTACCTCTTGGGCGGAGAAGGGGGTGGGGATTAGGAGGGGTCTGAGGGGGCTTCTAAGGAGAGGGTGAGTCTGGGTGGCTGAACGCAGGTGGGTTCACTTTGAGAAATTTCATCCACCCGTACACATGAGTTGTGGACTTATCTATACGTATGATATATTTCAGTAAACAAATTGATAAAAAATAACCCGTGTAAAGCACTTAGCACAGTCGCAGCACACACAGTAACAGCAGGAACTATTTTATTATTATTTATTAGTAGTAGTATTAGTATTAATATTTTCACCACCGTTTCTGAGGCAATGACTGTGGGCCAGTGTGGCTGGTGGCTGAGGTACAAACTGTGGCACCCTTCCAGCTCCCCCCGTCTCTACCTGTGTGACCTTAGGTGAGTTACTTTCCCCCACTGTGAACATAGTGTTAGAGATGAACTCACTTAAAGGGAAGCCTAAGTGACACGCCAGCACGACCAATCGACCAACTGTAGGGTGAGCTCAGACCATATCCCCCAGCCAACCCAATTCATTCGTCTGCTGCTGAAACTGGAACTCTGCAATTTATTTCTGTGGGTTTTGCATTTCCCCTTCTCTGTTTTAGTAAAAAACTGTTTTAAGGGATTGTCCTAAGATGTTATACATGGGGTTGCTCCTAGAAATAGCTCATTGGAAAGAATGAAAGCTGCAGGACTGGGCAGAGGCTTAGGAGCCGCGGTAGCACCTCAGGGGCAGGGTGCACATCTGCCTAGTTTTTGGCTCTGACATCTAAGCACGAGGACCTGCCTGTAGGAAGTTTTCAAGGCAGTTGCTCACCCTGCCTGGGGAATGCTACGTGGCCATGTAAAAGGATGGTTGCAAACACTGTGTAGCCACCCAAAGTGAAATGCTATGACGTGATGTTGAACATTAAAAGTAGGATATGAAAGAGCATGTCTATAGTGCAATTTAAGCTCCTGTCTGTCTGGTAACACATCCTAGGTGTTGGATGTTTTCCTACTAAATGTGCAGGGGCAGAAGTCTTTGTGACAAAGAGATAGACAGGGATTCCTGCAGAGGTGGAAACTCAGTTGCCCAGAGAGGCCGAGTGACTGCTGGGTGGGAGTGACATGCCCCTGTCACAACTCTGGAGGGCAGAGGAAATAGGGCAGACACCTCGTAGGGGGCGATCCCCTGCCTACAGCACTGGGCAGCTTCTAGCCTCACACTCCAAGATGAGCAGGGGCTGGACTTCGTTGATTCAGTGATTTAACTGTTTCTCCAGGGTGGTCAGAGGTGTGCAGTGTGGTCATTAAGGAAGGAACTAGAAAGGAGATGGGGAGAAAATACCCCAAAGATGTGACAGTGATAGGTAGAAGTGTGGGGTTTGGGGTGAGTTGTCTTTCTTTTCTCAATTTTCAGTTTTCTATAGTGTGGTTGTTTTTCCAATGCAAGAGTGTTAAAAATAAAATAAAATAAAATAAAAAAGGAAGTGCATCCTGTTTAGCTGACTTAGAAGGAAAGCGTTGGCTCCGGACCAGGCTCTGAATTGTGGGAGGGGCAGTGGGGATGCCAGAGGACTCGGAGCCTGGGGGAGGGTGTAGGGGATAGGGGACGGCTGTTACCCCATCCTTGGAGGCTGGGATGCTACGGGAAGGCCAAGTCAGGGGATCATGTGACAAGGGGAGGAAGCACTGGGCAAGGAGGCCTGGGGTGAGCCCAGCTCTGCTGCTCACTCCCTGTGTGGTCTTGCGCAAGTCCCTTCCCTATCTGAGCCTTATTCCCCCACCCCCACCCTGGGAGTAGGAGGGAGACAGGCCAGATGATCCCTGAGGCTCCTTGACCTCTGGCTCCTGGGCTCAATGTCGGGGTGGGCCCAGGACTTCCCTGCCCACCCTGGGCCTTCCAGCGCTGCCTTACCTTCTCTTCCTGCGCATCCAGTCCTTGACCTGCAGGTCTGGGAGCCCCATCCACTGGCCCTGGCTCAGGGTCACCATGGAGCCTTCGATGGACTGCAGGGAAAAAGGGTCCTCTGGTTCAGGCCTGTGCTCGGCCCCAATCCACTTGGACTAGAGGGCACTGGAGGCCTGAGCTCACTCAGAGAAAGGGGACAGGGAGGGGGCGTGAGAGGAGGGGGAGGCTGGCAAATAGGAAGGGGTAGGGAATGGAACAGTGCTAACCCCAAAGACTTCATGCAGATTTGGCCCAAATCTCTTGCACCCGTCCTGGTCCCACTTACATGCCAGGCTCCCCCAGGCAGGTTCCGGCCCAGGACCACGTGGGGGATAGCTCGCTCCTTCTGGTGCTTCCAGGCGAGGACAGACTCCATGTTTCCCCCAAAATCTGTGTCTGGGCGCAGGAGGGCATCAAAGAGCAAGGCCACAGGGCTTTGGCTCCGGCCTTCGAGGCCTTCGGACAGGTAATCCAGGTCCTGGAGGGGGAGCACAGGTCAGAGGGCCCACCGGAGGAAGGCTACCCGGTCTTGCATTCCTACCCTAACATCAGGATGGTCAGATAAGCTGGGAAATGCCTCCGCTCAGAAGGAGATAATGGCTGATGGTATATGAAAGGCTCTGACAAGTCCTGCAGCTGTCCTTTACCAGTTTAATTTTGCCAAACCCAGTGTCTCTCAGACTTGCTGGAATAGGAACATTTTCTCTGCATAGTATTCTGAGGAACTAGCGTCCTGTAGAAGGCATTTTGAAAAACGCTGATCTAGACCAAATGCCACTTACTTCCTCACCCCCCAGCTCAAGGGTCGGGCCGGGGGATGGTGGTTGGTGATTAGGAGGATGGATGTTGTCTGAAGAGGCATAGAGGGGAGATCTGTGAGACCTCTAGGGCAGGAAGCAGTGGAACTGCAATGCCTAGAGCAGGGTTTTACAACTTTGGCTCTCCTGACATTTGGGCTGGATCATTCTTTGTGGCGGGCGCTCTCCTGTACATTGCAGGATGTTTAATAGCATCCCTGGCCTCAACCCTCTAAGGCAGTAGTACCACCCCTCTAACTGTGACAACCAACATTGTCTCCAAGTATGGCCCTGGAGAGCAAAGTCATCTCCTGGTTTAGAACCAGTGTTCCAGGAGAAGTGAGACAAGCCGATGTGGCATTTGTAGGTCTCAAAAGACAGCCCTGGTTTCTCTCTCTGTGTCTGTGGGTGAATTCGTGGCCTCTCTTTTTCTGGGTTTGGTCTTGTGTCTGAAAAACGCATACTTTGGTTTTTGCCCTGGGAAAGCTGGGAGAGTTTCCCCAGAGGGGTGTGTACCCCACCCCCCTCACACCCACACCCACACCCACACCAGCCACAGCTCTTGCCCACCTGGTCCAGGATGGAGACCCCTGGCGCTTCCGCGAGCTTCCTCTGCAGCAGGGGGTGTGGGTGGATGGCTTCTGGCCTCACATAGGGGGTATAGCCGGACAGCAGGTAGGACAAGCAGATGCCTGAGGGACCATTGCCTGGGGAAAGGGGGTGGGGTCAGAGGGCAGCACGTTTGGGTTCAAGAGACCACCACCGCTGAGGGCTTTGGTCTTGATCTGACTCGTTCACTGATTTGCGCTTCATTCATAAAAATAAAACACGTATTAAGCCCTGAGCATGTGCCAGGCACTGTGCGTAATAACAGTCACTAACAAAGTAATGAACAATTGTTGAGAACCTACTAGGTGCTAGGTACTATACTACTGGAGCAACAATAAAGTTGTGGTAATAACTGTTGACGTTTGTTGAGTGCTTACTATGTGTCAAGGGATTTTAATAATAACAAAATAATAATAAACTGACAGATGCTGCTGCTGTACCAGACCCCAAACGAAGTCCTGATGTGCCTGCATTATCCCACTGAGCTCTCCCAATGACTTTAATGAGGTACATGCTACTCTTTTCCTCCTTTTATACCCAAGGAAACTGGGGCACAGAGAGGTTAAAAAACTTGCCTGTGGTCACACAGCAACACGACCGAGATTCTGAGATCACTAAGAACTAGTCCTGTCCTTCCAGAGCTAATGGCTGGTGGGTCAGGTGGACAAGTAAAATATTATGGCACAGGTTGCTATGTGCTCTGGGGGGTGAGCTTGGAGTCTTGGGTGCTCAGCAGGGGTGCTAGGCCACCTGTGGACCTCCTGCCTCCAAGTCTGAACAAATCACATCACATATCTGTGGCATTTCTTGGGCAATTAGCCTGGTGACATCGTTTCTATCCTTATTTGTCTTTCCCCTCTTTATCTTGTGTTGTTCAGAATATTACCCAGATGTGGACTACCATTAGGATGAATCACAGGGAATTGCTGATGTTCAACTGTTTTCAACTTAACAAAATGGGCCATTTCATGTGGTCCAACCTGCTGCTTGCATGGGGAGAGGCGCCATCTGTCCCCCATTTTTTGCAGACCTGAGGACAGGTCCATGTGCTGCGGTTGTGTCCCCTCTCACGCAGGCACCCAGCACGGTGCCAGGCACGGGGTGAGCACAGGACCAGGCCCCCGCCTCTTTACTGCTCTCACCTTGCAGGTTCTTGGAAGGATTACGTGGAATGATATTGTGTAAATTGCTAAGCATAGCACTGGGCACACCATGAATGCTCGGTGGCCAATTGTAAAGACAACAATTGATTGTAAAGAAAGGCCAAACCTGGCCCTACCTGGCTCCTGACCTCTGATGCTGGGGACACCCTGGAGGGCTCAGTCCAACCCCTCCCCTGCCCAAGGTGACACTCACCGATGATGATGACCTCGAGGGGCTCCGAGCTGCTGGCACTGAGTGGCTGGTCCTGTCTGCAGTTGTTCATGGCTGCAGCTGGTGGGGGTCTTGGGGCTGGCAGCTGATCTGGAGGCACAGAAGAGGAAGGGCCACTGGGTGAGCCTTGAGTATCACGTGGTGGGTCCCTTCCCACCTGTAGGGTGTCCTGTTGTGGCACTCAGGGTCAAATCCAAGGTCTTCCCTGAGGCCTATCAGGATGCTTATTACTCTGGTCTTCTTTCTCCCCTCCTCACACCTCGGTTCCTGTTAGGCTCTCTGTCCTCCCCTAGTTATGCAGGGTCCCTCCCCCAGCCTGGTTACCTCCGTCTCTCTGAGCTTCCCTCCACTCTCCCCATCTCACCAACGGGGCTGTAAAGAGACCCGAAGCCTATTATCTGTTTTCCATGAGGCCTCCTCTGCCCATCGGGGAGGGGGCGGGGGGTGCGCGCAGAGCAAGCCCTGTTGGGTGTAGTCTGGTGGACTTTGGAGCCATCATCTGGTTCTAGGGAGGTGCTTCCTAGCTGGTGACCATGGGCACGGTCCCAGGCCTCTCGGCTTCAGTTTCCTCATCTATAAAATGGGAATAATGTCCCTAACCGGTAGGACTGCTGGGGACAGCAAAGTCAGATCTGTGAAGCATCTGCCTGCAGCAAATCTGCTCCTGGGAAAAGACCAGAGCTCGTTATCTGCTCCAGGGGCTGGGCGGGAACACGTGGACTTGGGGAAGCTTTGGAAGCCTGGAGTAATTTGATTTGGGGAAAATGCCTGTAAACCTGCTCATCTCTGGAGCACCAGCGCCCCCTTCTGGCTAAAGGCCTAAATCACTCCAAGAGACCCAAACCCAGTTCTTAGGGTTTGATTTCTCTCTCTCTCTCTCTCTCTCCCTCTCCATCTCTCTCCCTCTCCATCTCCCTCTCTCTCTCTCCATCTCCCTCTCTCTCTCTCTCTCTCTCTCTCTCTCTCTCTCTCTCTCCCCCCTCCCTCCTGGGGTGGTGAGGAGAGGGAAGAAGAGCTGCCACAGCAATTTAACAGTGAGAGCGTCCATCCCTCCCAGCAATTCTCAAAGGATGGGTTCACAAATGCCAAGAAATGCATGAGATCGGGCCGGCCGAGTGGCGCGATGGTTGGGAGCTCGCTTGGGATGCCGGAGGGCCCCGGTTCGGATCCCACATATGAGGGCCAGTGACGCTGCCCTCTACAGCTAAGATGCTGAACAACAGGACAGCAACTTGTCTGTTCCCCTTCCCCCAAAACCCCAATTAAAAAAAAAAAAAAAAAAAAAAGAAATGCATGAGATCAAAACTATTTTCCTATGANGCTGGACAGTGTGACTTGGGAGAAATGTTGTCCTGCGTAGCCTCAGTTTCCCCATCTGCGCACTGGTGTTGCCAGTGTGGGGCTTGCAAGGTGCTGACAGCTGATCAGTGCAGCTGAGGGAAGGGGCCTGGCATGTGGGGGGAGCTCAAACGCAGCTGTCTGTTCTGCTTAGTATGGCAGGCCTCCTATCCCCACCTTCTAGGCCTCCCTCAAGCCTTCCGCAGGTGCCCAGGAGCAGGGGAACCTGTGGAAGAGAGGGTAGGGTAGCTCAGGGCGCTTCTCTGGGGGTTCTGGTGCTGGAACGGATCCCTTCTGCTCCTATATCAAAACCACCATTCCTCTCTCCCCAAGAAATCCTAGAAGCATTCACAGGAACTGCTCCCGGTTCCTCTTCCTCGCCTCCCTTCTGTTCCTCCTCACTCCTTCTCCCTTGTGCTGGCTCCCACTTGCTGGGCACCTCCAGGAGCTGGGCACCATGGACAGGAGGTTCTTTACACACAGCTAAGGCTCAGAGAGGCCCATCTTGAGCCTGAGGTCACTCAGCACAAGCCAGAGCTCAAACCCAGGGCCAATTGCAGAGTCTGGAAACCTTCGGGAAAAGGCAGACAAGGAACAGATGAAGGAACAACGCTCCTTCCTGTCTCAGGTGCAAAAAGCACGGCCCTGGGACTCTCCTGAAGGGCCCGCCTGTCCCCACGGCCACCCCCTTTACGAGGTGCCCGCACTCACTGTAAGACGTTTCAGGGACCTGTACATTGGATCTGTACGCCANGAGCTCTGAGGTTCCCCAGACTCCCTGAGTCTCAGCACCCCAGCCTTCTGGGAGAAGCCAGGTAAGCCCCTGGGACCCTGGGGGCTCTGCCCCACTCCAACAGTAAAGGCAGGGAGCCTGAGGGAAGCACCCGCCTGGCTGTGGGACCCAGTGGCCTCGGGATTCCGGGCAGTATGTCAGGGCTGGCCACACCTCTCTTTCTTTCCTGCCAAGAATGGCGTCACGTGACCAGGGTGTGCTCTGGCTGCAGGGCAGCTGTAGGGCTAAGGGTGCCAGGCACCTGGAGATGGGCATGGCCCGGAGGGGTGGAGTGGGAAGCTGGGGGTAGGGAGAGAGTCATGCTGGCCCCCAGGGAAGCCAGGGTGGCCTCCTCTCAGGACCACCTGGGGGTCCCCCTGCCTGGCTCCAGGCCCTATTGGCCACCCCTGACCAGGATGTGCCCAGGATGTCTGCCCCCCCCCTGCCACCCCCCCTCAGTGCCTTGCCCAGGCCACTCACCTGACCAGCAGGGGGTCAAGGGAGACTGGTGAGTCTGAACTGGTCGGATACTATGAGGGCCAGGAGATCACAGTGCCCGTCCAGTGAGCAGCATACCCATTACCCTGTGGGGGATCCAAGAGGCTCTGAGAGGCCAGGGCAAGCGAGGGTATTTCAAGGGTTGGGAAGAGGCGGGCCGCAGGCGTGGCCAGGAAAATCACTTTCATAAGCGTGAGTCAGCAGGGGCCTCTGGATGAATGAACTTGGCAGTCATGCTGCCTGCCCCAGGGCCTGCCTTAAAGGGGCCCCATCCCAAGGCAGTCCCTGTGGTAGAAGAACTGGGAGTAACCGGGCTGGCCCCCACCCGTGGGGCTCAGTCAGTGAGTGGAGGAATTGGGGGATCCCTGTATGAGCCAGCCTGGCCTTTTCCCTTAGGGAGGAGGAGACAGCTCTGCCCAACGTCAGAGGGGGCCCCTTTAAGTGGAGTAAGAGCCCGTTCCCTCATTCCACCTGGTTCTACTTGGTGTCTCCACTCCATAGCCCCTCTCCCCTCTGCCACTCCCCCCATAAAAAGCCCTCTGGCACCAGCCTGCCCAGGCTGAGAATCCAGCTCTGCCACTTCCTGGACAAGCTGCCTCAGTTTCCTCCTCTGAAAAATGGGGCCAGCCAAGTAACAG